CAAAGAAACTATTTTGATTTTCTCAAGCGAAAACTCCTTGAAGATACTGTGACACAATTGGATAGTCTTCTGAATATGAGACCTGAGATTGTCACTGTGCGCGAACGACCCCAGTTTTATTTCAACAGCATACAAAATAAACAGGTATTGACCCAGTGATTCAAAAGTGGTTCTGTAATGGTTACAGCATTCTATGAGAGCCAGCTGGAGAAGGAATTTGTAAATAATTTAATTTTTTTAATAATTTATTTTTTTAATTTATTCCAAAAACAGTACTTATGATACAGAATGGAATTCTCAGCATTTGTCACAATATTGCATCTGATTTACTTAAAATATAAATAAAATTAAAACAAATGTAACCAGAGAAGTTTTTCCACGCTTACGATATAAAGTCAAAAATATTCTAAACATGGATTGAAAACATTAAATATTAATAATAATAGTAACAGTGAGTTTGTTTCAAACAGTATTGTCGATTGAACTTGAAAATTTTAGCATGTTACTATAGAGTATTGAATTTAATGTTCTGTTGCAGTATAGTGAGGGGAAATACAAGATTAACAGTTCTAACACAGCTTAAATGATGTTCACTCCTATGAAAAATAAATAAGTAAATAAAAACAAAAAATTGAGAGGATTATAAATATAAGAGATACAATAACAACAAACATTATCAGGGCGAGGCATGAAATAACAATCAAGTTTGGTGCTGTAAGGTTGGAAGAAATGGTTTATTTAGTAGTGTAAAGAAGGTTAGTTAGTTCATGCCTGAGATTATTTTCATCACATAAAGTACGTGCCAAATATGGTATAGTGGAATTTTTATACTTAGACGTACGTGAGTGAATTCTTCTAAAAAGACTCCTTGTTTTAGCTGAGGATGAGACACAAGGTTGGAGCTGCGGGTGCTTTGGTGGATGCTCACAGTCTGACAAAATTCCTTTAACAAATTTGTTGCATGACATCAAGTGCCTATGAGTGACAATGTCAACGATATGGCCAAATAAGATAGAATTCCACTCGTCCTACTGACAGTCTTCAGAGTTCTACGAAGTATGACATAGTCTTTTTTAAGCAATCCAGGAAGGAATAAGGGTGAACAGTAAAGAAGAATAGGTAAAATACGCGAGCTGACAAACTGTAAGAGGAGTCGTTGGGTTACGCCTGAGTGCCTTAACTTCTTAATATAAAAAGTCAGACGAAATATTCTTTTAGAAATCGCTAAGACATGGGAAGACCAGGATAGGCCAGAAGAAAGAATTAATCCAAGATACTTAACTTCAGACTTGATTTCTATATCAGTGTCATCAATTTTGCAAGGGTCATAGGAACCAACAGCTTAATTTAACTTTCGTTTACATCGGAAACTGAAATTAACAGTCTGGCATTTGGAAGGATTTAGTTTAAGGCCGTTACATGAAGACCATATGCTAATTCCTGATAAAAAGCTGTTCATCTTAGCACATTCAAGCTGGAAGTTAACAGACGTTGAAATAGTTATATCATCGGCATACTTAACAAAGTTCATTTCATCAGAGTGAGGCAAATCATGTAAGAAGAAAGAAAACAGAAAAGGAGAAAGGACAGCACCAATGGTGCCGTTGGATAGCTGAGAAAAATATAAGTGTTATACTTCCATACTGTCATAATACTTTTGATCAATTTCAAATGCTTTCGGCATCCGCCAGATGCACAATAATGTTTTGTTTGCAATAGCATGAGGTATGCAACCTGTCCCATCCCAGTTATTTTTTGACTAACTTTCAAACTACTGACTATGAATCAGTAGCCTGGCAACACTTTGAAAATTATTCAATTTCATCCTTTTTTTTACCATCTGTCACAATTTTGACCTTTCTCGCCATCATTTTACCATCCATCTCCTGTTTTTGTTTGTTCAGGAAGTAAGAAAATACACGCATGTACCCTGTTTAGTTAACAAGGAGATAGACAAGATGAAATACGTCTATCCAGTTGATAACTACTCACTATAGTCTCATCTGCAGACGACTAGTTAGACAAACATAATAGCAAACAATGGTTCTATCATGTAACCTAATTAATTTTATCTTACACTGAAGATATAACACATCAGAAAAAGAATAATGAGACGTTCTCCACAATACAGATAACAATTGAAGAGTAAATCACCAACAAGCTAGGGGTGATTTTCTGTCGATACATATCACAGACACTTAAGTTTTGCTCACAACTTAGGGCTTTTAGCTACTAGTAGCTAAGTACTATGCCATTTTATTCAGTTTAGGTGGTTTTCTAAAGACTGGAGAGTTTGGTATTAACATCTTTTATCGAACTACTACACATCAAAAACATTTCACAACTTTATGTCAAAGCTTCTCAAGTATCCGCGAAAATTAAACATATAATGAAGCTGTACATACATTCAGGCTAGAATTTGCACTCAAGACTTGACACTGACTGACTTTAAACGTTTGACAAAGAATAAAGTACCGTGATTATAGGAAATTCTTTTGAGCGCACATCTTCCGTATAATCAGATGGATCTCAATAACCTATTTTAAAAAATATCATAGTTGGGTGAAATACTACAAATTCCTTTAAAAGTTCCATATTAGTTTGATTATTAAATGTATCACACAGTGAAACAGTATTGTATACTGGATGACGTTTCGAACACAATTTATTGTTCATAATCATATCAATTTTTGCCACGCGACTTCGAGATTTGATTTTTATAGTTTTCTCTGTCTTCTCCTATTTGTTGTATGGGCAGTAGAATTTTCCATATATCTGGGACAGGTGTTGAATCATTCCTATTACATGTATTTGCAGTTGATTCGATAAACAAAGCTTCTGTTATCAATCTCTCCCTATACCCTGTGACATTAGATTTTAAAACTGTCATCCTATCCCATCCTATTGTATGGTTGTGTGTAACTGCATGTAGTGCTATAGCTGAACTACTCTCTAGATTTCTTATCTTATTCGGGTCAACCAATCTAGATTTAGCTAGGTTTTTATGTTCGGCTAGTCTGACTGCCCCTGTTCTACTAGTTTGACCTATGCATTTGACCTCACAATCATTGCAGGGTATTAGATAAACTAAATTGTTTTGTTTTAATGGCTCCACAGGACCCTTCAACCGACAAAACTTGTTTCTAATTGAGTTTGTGGGTTTGAATGCCACTTTTATTCCTACCTTGTTAAGAATTCTGCGTAAGGTTTCCGAGGTTCCTTCCTTGTATGGAATTACTGATGATGATTTAGCTTCCTTATTGTTGGTGTCGTCATTAATATTATTATTATCACTATTATTATTACCATTATTATTGTTATTATTATTATTGTTATCATTATTATTATTATAACTATCACTATTATCATTATTTATTTTATTTTTACATTTACTTACATATTTCTTGACTAATTTATCCGGGTAATTATTAAGTTTCAAGGCTTCTTTTATTTGTGTCACCTCCTGTCTTAGATTTTCCTTGGTACTACTTAGTTTTTGTGCTCTGTCATTTAATAATGATAACAGAGATAGTGATAATAATAATAATGATAACAATAATAATAATAACAATAATAATGGTAATAATAATAGTGATAATAATAATATTAATGACGACACCAACAATAAGGAAGCTAAATCATCATCAGTAATTCCATACAAGGAAGGAACCTCGGAAACCACCTTACGCAGAATTCTTAACAAGGTAGGAATAAAAGTGGCATTCAAACCCACAAACTCAATTAGAAACAAGTTTTGTCGGTTGAAGGGTCCTGTGGAGCCATTAAAACAAAACAATTTAGTTTATCTAATACCCTGCAATGATTGTGAGGTCAAATGCATAGGTCAAACTAGTAGAACAGGGGCAGTCAGACTAGCCGAACATAAAAACCTAGCTAAATCTAGATTGGTTGACCCGAATAAGATAAGAAATCTAGAGAGTAGTTCAGCTATAGCACTACATGCAGTTACACACAACCATACAATAGGATGGGATAGGATGACAGTTTTAAAATCTAATGTCACAGGGTATAGGGAGAGATTGATAACAGAAGCTTTGTTTATCGAATCAACTGCAAATACATGTAATAGGAATGATTCAACACCTGTCCCAGATATATGGAAAATTCTACTGCCCATACAACAAATAGGAGAAGACAGAGAAAACTATAAAAATCAAATCTCGAAGTCGCGTGGCAAAAATTGATATGATTATGAACAATAAATTGTGTTCGAAACGTCATCCAGTATACAATACTGTTTCACTGTGTGATACATTTAATAAACAGACTAATATGGAATTACTTAATACCACAGTGCCCAAGTTTTACACATATATTAACATGCTTAAAAAGTTCTCGTCAGATCATACTAATATTTGATAGAGAGTTTCGCATCAGTAATCTTTGATCGTAAAAAGCGACTTTCGAAGATTCAACAACGATGGCTGGAATTAACAATGAAAACTTGATCTCCAACGTACAAGTATGCGATAAATCACATTTTGACCACATGTGTCGTCAAGTGTTGGGTTTATAACGAGTGAGAATCTACATCATGTTATTGAACACTGTGTAATTTTTTATTCTTCTCTGAGGTTCTAAAATACTTTGCAACTGTAACGTGATATAGGACGAGTTCATATAAATTTTTTGATAAGCAGTTTAAGACTGACGAGTCAGTCTTAATTCACTGAAAATAGGAAGACAATAATTTAAATATTGAAGGAGGGATTTCGGTATAAAAGAAGAATTACTCAACACTTTACCCCAAAAGTCGTAATTTTCATAGACCCACAAAGAGTTGAATGAAAAAGATGTGAATGCTGCTATACTTTATTTTATTTATTTTTATTTAGTTTATTTTATCCACTATATCAAAATAAGGTAGGAATTGTGTTTAATACAAATAAGCATCTTATTACTCGGTTAAAATTACACACCCGTATATCTAATTATCTCAAAAGCAATAACGAATTCGGCTCCTCCTCCAGTTTTCCATCTTATTCAGGTTCTAAAATGAAAGGAACAAAAGCATGAAAAAGAAACTAAAAAAGGTTACGAAAATTAAGACACAGAGAAGAACAAAAGTCCAGCGTTCACTTTAATTGTGATATACACATATGTGAGGTTAGTGCTGAAGATGCTATCAAGTCTGGTGATGACACCTTCATGATTAAAGAACAAAAGAATGGAGAAAACCAAACATGTTGGGAAATCATTATGAACTAAAAATCTCTATTACTACGGTTGTTTTATGTAGCAACCAGTCCATGTGCTCAAGAAAACTGACATATGAAATAATTGTAAATATAGCAAGTTTCAGATATGGTCCGAAAACAGATAACTAAGCTAACTAATTGACATCAGTTAAGCGAAGTATTTGGGAAGTACAAATGTGGATGACCTAAAGGCATCATTCGATTCCGTCGACCGAGAGGCACTCTGGCGAGTTTTGGCTGCGAAGGAAATGCCTAGGAAATACATTGCACTGATTAAGGCACTCTACTTGAACTCACGCAGCCCGGTGACGGCTTACGGTGAGTTGTCATCTGAAGTGGTGACGATTAGTGGTGTCATTCAGGGATGCCCACTATTCAATTTCATCAGAAATGTACTGATGGACCTAACCATAACTCACTTCAGAGACACAGGGATTAACTTGGTACCGTCAGGGAATAATCTCGTTGACTTAGAATATGCGGATGATATAGTCCTTCTACACCAGGACGCTGACAAAATCCAGAGTCTTCTGAGTACCTTGAGCTGCAATCTACGAATGTTTGGCATGCCATTTGCTCCCGCCGAATGCAAGATTATGTTACAGGACTGGACTACACTGAATCCTAGCTTAGAAATAGGGAGCGAACTGGTAGAGCATGTTGACCATTTCACTTATTTGGGGAGTTGCATCGACCTCAACGGCTTGATAGCTGACGAAATCGCAGCACGGAGACAGAGGGTTAGTTTCGCATATGTCAGTTTACGCCTCTCTGGTGTAGACGTGATATCCGGCTGGCTGTCGACCAAAGGGCGGGTCTACTGCTTAGCAATCCACTCAGTCCCTCTTTATGGCTGTGAGACCTGGCTATTGAGAGTGGAAGCCATGAGAAGGCTGGCTATCTGTCTTTGATCATAGGTGCCTGAGTTCTATCTTCCGTGTGAAGTGGTAATAATAAGGTGAGTAATATTGAGGTTAGGCATCGGTTGAGTGCTTGGTAAGGAGGGGGAAATGAATCGACGAGGCTGTGAAGCTACATCAACTGAGATGGTTAGGACATGTGTTACGTATGCCTGGTCACCGCCTTCCTCAACGGGCAATGTTAGCTGACATAGGTGGATCACGTTAGAAAAGAGCCTGTGGTGGTCAAACCAAAACATGACACCAGTCAATAAAGTCCACAAAAGTTAGCTTAAGCCACGTAGGGAGGTGTAGACTTCCTGGTTGGGGTCCTCGGGATGGTAAAAATCAATGGTTGGTAACAATTGGTGATATCGCTCAAAATCGTTCTCAATGGCGCAGATGCATCCACTCCTTGTGACTTATGATTTCCAATGAAACTACATTGCTCTTCGTTATTACTATTCCTTTGTCTCACACCTCTGTTTACTGTCTCTATTATGCATTTCTTCTACTTTCTTCTCTTGCTTTGTGTGCTACATGGAGTGTGGCGGCTTGAACCTCCGCACATATGTGCAAAGTTCTATGTCGAAAACAGACAGACAGATATAAATTTGGATTTATGGGCTTTTGAAAGATCGAGAAAGAGGTGAATGATGTGCGGTGGTTAATTAAGAATCTGATAACTGGCTAAGTTATGTCAGTGTTAGCAACGTGGAGAGCACTCGTATGAAAAAATGCATGCACCATAGTAACCATGGACTTTTTCTGTAAATCGCATTAAGTTAAAAAATTGATAAGATTAAAATTGTTAGTGAGTGAGAATAAAAGTAGCTGAGTGTCAATTTAACAAGTGTGAATGTGTGAAAATGTACAAAACGAACATATAAGAGTGATAATAGTGAAGTAAAAGCAAACTAAATTAAAATTTTTGAAAAAATCAAAATTTTTTACAGGGAACGACTAGAGGTGGTCAAGACCAAGGTAGAATAGGAGACTGGACAAACTTTTTCTGCATACAAAGTTCGGGGTTGTATTGACGAATTGCCAGAGCCTCCGCCATACACGAATGCCGACACCCTTTGTACCATTTGACCTCAACTTGTAGATGATCTTGAAAGACGACTCTGGTGGAGCTATGTGGCTTGAGTTCACCAAGTGCTCGAGAATTGAGATAGTAATTGTCTTGCATTATTTGTTTTTACTTTAACAATTAATTCACTATTATCACTCTCATATGTTCCTTTTGTACATTTTAACACCCTCTTCACACTTGTTAAACTGGTACTCAGCTACTTTTATTCTCGCTCTTTAACAATTTTAATCTTATCAAATTTCTAACTTTGTGCCGTTGAGTACCACGTACTTTACAACTTTTATTTTTTACTTCTAAGTCGCATTAACTTAGTTTGAATGAAGATAATAAAACAGCATCTTTTATATCCTTAAAAAAACTACCTTTAAGTTCACCACGGTTACACAGTAGATTATTATTATTGCTTTTAATTCCTAGAGAAACACAGGGCTTCAGCCGCGCGTCTCCATTGCGTTCGGTTCTCTGCCAACTTTTCCACCCCACTCCAAGTCTGCCCACATCTTTCATCTCCTCTTCACATGGCCTCCACCAAGTCACCCTTGGACGACCTTTTCGGGTCGTTCCTAATCTTACACAGTAGAAAGGAACTAAAATGTTGCTCAACAACTACGGATTACTAAATGAGTTTGGCAATCAGTCATATTTATCGTTTTAATACTTGGGTGGAACCGGGGTTCAAAACCATCATTTGGAAGTTGAAATCTAGTCCAGTGAGATACGCAGCTGATATGAACAAAAATCAACTATAGAAGTACCAGGGGCAACAGACAACTTTTAGGCTGCAGACTACGCAGTAAAAATGTTGTCCTTCAGCCACATTATTTTAGACTTTTGCTGATTTGCATAGTTGTAGCACAATGTCATCCAATCAGAAGTATTTAAATAATTTGGCTCACCAGTTTCAGGAAAAACAATTTTTGCACATTTCATTTCGATATCAGGATTACTGTAGCTGCATTTGTCTGGAATATTAAGAAAGTAAAATATCTAAATAGGTAGAATAGGCTTTTACACTGAACTGAAATCTAAACAGCATAAAATCATTTTCCAATGATTAATCTTCAAGTTTATAGATTATTTGTCTAATTAAAACATTATGTTAAGGAACAACCCAATAATCATTTGCACCTCCATGCAACTAGTAATGAAGCACAGCTATAGTGTTAGGGTTAGCTGCCGTGATGGAATGACTCCAGAAGTATTTAAGTACGGTGGAGACAGTTTACTGTCTGCATTAACTGAGATACTAGGCAGCGTCTGGGAACCATAAGAAGTCCCGTCGGGTTGGTGTAAGTCACTGATTATCCCCATATACAAGAAGGGAGACAAGTCTTCCTGTGATAATCACAGAGGGATTAGCTTGACTAATATAGTGGTATCTAAAGTCCTAGGCTCAATAATATTGTGTAGACTAAGTGGTGCTCGGGAGGCACAAACACGAGAGAGCCAGGCAGGCTTTAGACCAGGAAGAGGGTGTATTGATCATATCTTCACCCTCCGACAGATTCTAGAACATAAGAATTCCTACCGGCATCTATCAATCATCATATTTCTTGACCTAAAGGCGGCATTCGATTCTGTAGACCGAGAGGTTCCCTGGCGATGCTTGGTTGTAAAGGGAACGCCTGAAAGTACATTGCAATGATCAAGGCACTCTACTCGAACTCATGCAGCCAGCCAGTTGAGAACTTACGGCGAGTTGTTATCTGAACTGTTGACGACTAGTGGTGTCCGTCGGGGATGCCCGTTAGTCGCATTTCTATTCAATTTTATTATAGATGTACTAATGAACGTAACCATAACTCACTTCAACGACTCAAGGATTGACTTGCTACCACGGAATAATCTCGTTGACTTATAATATGCAGACGATATATTCCTCCCAGCTAGGTGAAGACGCTGGCAAAATGCAGAATCTTCTGAAAACCGTGAGCAGCAATCTGAGAATGTTTGGCATGCGATTCGCTCCTGTCAAATGTAATGTGGTGCTACAGCGTTGGACTACATCGACTCCTAGATTAAAGATAGGGAGGGAGTAAAGCAGAAGGACGTGTTGACCATTTATTTGGGCAGCTGTATCAACCGATGCCGGAGGGTTGGTTGCCAACTTACGCCATCTCTGGCTTAGTAGATGTGATATGCCTCTGCCTGCCAACCAAAGGGCATGTGTACTGCCCAGCAATTCGCTCTATCCTCCTTTGTGGTTGGCTGTGAAACATGGCCATGAAAAGCCTGGAGAGCTGTTTTTGATCATAGGTGTCTGAGTTTTATCTCCCATGTTAAGTGGTATGATGTAGTGAGCAATATTGAAATTAGGCATCTGTTGAGTGGTAGGTAAGGAGGTGAAATTAATCGACGAGGTTTTGAGGCAGCTGCATCGATTGAAATGGTTAGGACATAAGTTACGCCTGCCTATCCACCACCTTCCTCGACTGATAATGTTAACGGACATAGGATAAGGTTCCATAAGAACTCGTGGTGGTCAAACGAAAACACGGCTTCATCAGTCAATCAAATCCTCAACAGTTAAAGTCAGTCACGTAGGTAGGGTAGGTGTAGACTTCCTGGTTGGGATTTTGGGGCAGTAAAAACTAATGAAGGTTGGATACAATTGGTCATATGGCTCAGAATCGTTCTCATTGCACAGCGCAGATGTATTCACTCTTTTTGACTTTTCATATCCAATTAAATTGTATTGTTCTTCCATATTACCATTCTTTTTGCCTCATATTTCTGTTTATTATCTCTCTACTGAGTCTGTCTTTACTCTTTTCACCTACTTTGTGTGCTACATGGTGTAGCAACTCGAACTGCCGTACATATGTGCAAAGTTCTACATTGAAACCAGCCAGTCAATTGCTGTCCAAATCTCGGTAGGAGCAGCACAGTTTTCGAACGCGCGGTGAACTTGGCGGTAGTCGAGCGACCAATGAGTCGCAATTCCGTAAGCTTCGTTTATTGAAACTAGGCAAAACTAGTACAAATATTACTTTGGTATTGTACTTTATAGCGTCCATAACCCACCTAGGGGATTACTTGTAAATTGTCAAAAATTACTTACCTGATTTATTGGATGAGCCATTCTCAGTTTCTTTTTCAGAGTGTTTCTTCTCCTCGCTATGACTTCCTGTTGCCTCTGAATCACAATCTATAGTTGAATAAAAAAATAACAGAGTTAAAATAACAGGTGAAGTTGACAGACAAAAAAAATTCCATTTCCATCCTAAAAAGATAGTACTAAGATTAGTTGGACTAGCACTAAAAAGTATAACTGGCCCCGTCTACAATAAATGACCAGAAAAACCGAGGTCAAATAGATCTAATTCAAAAAATTTGTAAGGTATGTCCTACTCCCTGACTGCACAAGAAGTGTAGTGTTTGTGAACAAGTGAAAAATAATATGAACATATTCAGCGCTCATCACCAGACTAGTGAACATGGAGAACTCACCTAGGGGAAGTTTAAACCTTGATTCCGCACCGATGATGTTCGAGGGCCCCCATATCCGGAATGCACAGAGTGGTCATGAACCATGAGAAAGGAGACATCGACGCTACTCTACAACTATGTATATGAAGGTTCGAGGAGAGTTCATTTAAGACAAAAATTCCCGACTCTTCTGAAAGGCAGTGATAATACCCTAATTAAGGAACCGAGTAGATTTTTTGAGAAGGCATTCGAGACTGACACTCCTACATTAATGCGGATTAAAGATATCACTACGACAGTCTTAAGAAAAGGTATATGTTGTGCATGCAATAAACAGTGGTATTAGTCTGTTAATAGCTGAGACAAAATAATGGTTGAAGTAATCAACTGAGTGTATTTCGTTTAAGTTATGATGTATGCCATTACCTGTTCATGCGTCACCAGTGGCTGGAACACGCGTTCGTGTATTTTCACGACAAGAATCGTTTTGTTTTAGTTCTGCTGGAAAGAACTATTTTTTGGAGTTGTCTGTTACGTGGAGATTTTTCTAAAAAGATTATGAGCATCCTCAATGCCCTATTAATAAAACACCCCAAGCTACTGGCGGCCTGTTTGACATCTGGGCTACCTTTTTCGTGCATCTACATATTGCATCTAATAAGTCATGTTTTCATTCCTAATTTTAATAAAATATGATCACAAATCGCATAAAATACAGTAATTCATTCATTAAACGTTTTAAACCATATGACTTTCATGCAACTAATAATGCATCTAATAAATCTAAGAGAAAACATCATGCTGGCTGGCAGCGTGCACTTAAACAGACACCTTTATATCGTACAACCATTCCTGTTATTGTCACTTCAAACTGCCGTTCACTTCCCAACAAAATTATGCATCTCCAGTCTCTCTTATCATCTGATACTTATCACAATACGGCGATTGTTGCATTACAAGAAACATGGCTCCATGAACTCTATGATGACAATCTGGTTTCCCTAAATGGTTTTACATTGTTTAGACAAGATCGACTATGCTCCAGAAAGAAAAGAGGTGGAGGTGTTGCAACTTTCATTCATTCTCAATGGTCAACTTCAAATAATGTATGTTTTTCTTACTCTAATGACTTTATTGATTGTATAACGGTCAAATGCCGCCCGAAACATTTATCCAAATTCAAATACGTCTTCATCTCTAACATTTATGTTACTCCTGGCTGTTCTGCATCTGATCTATCTGATTTTGCTGATGAATTCACTGAATTTGCCGTTACACATCTTGAAAACTCTTTATCAGTTGTCACAGGAGATTTTAACTGCTGTGATTGTTCTTTCCTCGTATCATTAGGTCATGCCAATATTGTTAAATTCCCTACTCGACTTGATAAAACCCTTGACCTGGTGTTCATTAATGATGAGGAAATATATGAAGTACGCCGACGTGCTCCTATCATGAACTCAGATCATTGTATTATTCGGATATTACCTAAGATATACAGCAGATCTCACTTTAATATCTTCTCAAATCTGTCCAAGAGAACACAGCAAAGGTGTTACTCACAAGAAAATATGCTCAAACTAAGATGTATGCTAAATGACACTAACTGGGAACTTTTCAACGAACACAAACTGGATGATACTATTTCCAATTTGACTGACTATCTTAAATTCTGTCTTGATATATGCTGTCCAAAACAGATAATTTTCAAAAGAATGGATCGTTTTTCTTCCCCTCATCTCAAAAAACTTCGTAGAGAAAAAGAGAAGCTGTACAAGACAAAGAATAAATCTGGTCTTAAGAAGATAAACACCCAAATTAAATCTGAAATCAAGAGACTAAACAACATTTATAATCAAACAATACTATCTTGTAAAACATCAGAAAACATATGGAAGCTTTTTAGAGAAATTACTGGTTGTGGTAAGCATAATAATTTTGCCTCTTCTATTGATGTAAATACTCTCAATAGATCTTTTATCCGCCCTCCAAATGTCCTTTCTGCCTTCAATTTAACTAATAACACGACCAGTGACTTTCATCGTTTCAATACTTCTGATGTTCTTAAATGTTTGAAATCTCTTAAACCTTCCCAGAGTCTAGGCCCTGATGGTATACCTGCCATTGTTTTAAAGAAATGTGCTGATATTTTAAGTAACCCACTTACAAGCATTTTCAATACTTCTTTTTCTAATAATAATGTACCTTCTCTGTGGAAAGATATTAAAATCATCCCTGTACCCAAGTCTGGTTCTGGAGATAGTGTTAAGTTTAGACCAATTGCCATTACCTCTCCTTTCTTGAAACTGATGGAGAAATTACTCTTACAAAAACTCATTCCCTCCCTAAGCTTCTCAAATGATCCAAAGCAGTTTGCTTACAAACAGGGTAGAAGTACTTTGGATGCTGCTGCTGTGTTTCATCACAACATTGTATCCTCCTTAGACAAAGGGGCCAAGTATGTCCGTTGTACTTTCCTTGATTACACATCTGCTTTTGACTCTGTACCTAGAGGCCTTTTGTTAAACAAGCTTAGCCTTACACAAACTGAGTCCTGGGCTATCAACTGGCTGCACTCTTACTTCTCCAATAGGATGCAGTACACGGTATATAATGGTGTAGCTTCCTCTCCTTTGCTTACTGAAGCTGGTGTTCCTCAGGGTGCTGTTCTCTCGCCGTTTCTCTTTTCCTTCTTCTTACATGACTTACCTCTCTCAGACGAAATCAACTTCGTCAAATATGCAGATGACCTGACTGTTTCGCTTCCCGTTAAGTCTCAGTCAGACTGCTTCAAATTAAATAGCTTCCTGTCGGACATCAGTCAGTGGTCTAAAATAAATGGCCTAACGCTGAATCCCTCAAAATGCCAGACTGTCGACTTCTCCTTTAGGCATAAACGAGATCTACAAACACTAGTAAGCACTCATGATGTCTGTAGAATCGAGGGGACTATAATTGAAACAAAGTCTAATGCAAAATACCTCGGATTAGTTATATCTTCCGACCTTACTTGGTCATCTCATATCCAAATGATTTCCAAGAAAGTGTTTCGTCTAACCTACTACATTAAGAAACTCAGACTAACTGGAGTCCCTCAACCTCTGCTTACACAATTTGTCAACTCTCGTATCCTACCTATTCTACTTTACTGTTCCCCGTTAGTCTTTCCTGGGTTACTGAAAAAGGATTATACCATCCTGAGAAGGATGTTGAAGGTAGTTAGCAGGACTAGCGGTGTAAAACTCAGTCAGCTCGTCACAACATTAGTGGATAAGCATCTGAATACATGTGAGAAATGGTCTAAAACCATACTCTCTGACCCCCAACACCCCCTCTATTCCCAACTCTCTCCCTGCATCTCATCAGGTAGAACCAGAAATCAGTATAAAATAATATATGCTCGCACAACCAAGTATAGGAACTCAACGATACCATATTTGGCCCGTGTTCTAAGTGACAGAGACAATGTTAGACGTGAAACCTATGACTTGCTTTGTTGTTAATAACATAATTTTGGCCCTTGTTTTTTCCCCCTTACACTCTCTTATTTGTACTCTATAGTGAACAACCTTCTTAAACATACTTAGCTGCTTAAAATTATTATCATTGGCTTACATTTTTATTCTTTATTCTATTCCTTCTTTGTACATCTACTGGGTCCGACTATATTATCACTATGATTATTAAAAATTGTCCCGTCATTAACCATCATGTAACATTAGTTTTGTGGTTGTTCTTTGTTCGGCACTATTTAACTGACAATCTTGTTTGTTATTGCCACTATCACCATCTTAAAAATTTTGTATTATGCATGATTCCTCACACTGCCACTACAAACAACCGCATTAGTACTGACAAAAAAAAACACCTGAAATGTTTATCTTATGATTGCTTAGTGTTGTTCAATCAAATTAACTGATCATCTTGGCTATAAACATTTTTTTAAGAACATCTCATAATTTCCCGTATGATTATAGCTGTTACTGTTCACCACGCATACACATATCGTAGCTTCCACTAACTAATACTGAAATATTTTTTTTCATTATTTGTGTTCGTCTTCTTTTTTACTCAGTATTTTTATTTGCATTTTTTTTGGTTATTTCTGTTTCTTTTTTTTGGTTTTTATTATATTTTATTTTTTTTTATAATACTCCTTTTAAATGTACGATGAAATTAGATGCAATATTGTAGATATGTGCTGAAAATTCCACACTGTACCACAAGTACTGTTTCTGGAATAAAGCGAAATTGTTATGTTATGTTAAAAAAAAAAAAAAAAGTAGATAGATCTAGGTAACAAAAACAGTCTCACCACTACTCTTACCTAGCAGTGACGTTAAATGCGACTGACTGAGTTTTAACATAGAACTTTGGACAGAAAAGCAGCAGTTCTAGTTGCTAAACTCTGTGTAGCACAAAAAGGTAGAGAAAAAAAGATTGTCTAATCTCATTATTTATAAAATTTTGTTACTAATGGCATTTTGAATACATCTTTGACTGATGAGAGTTTTGCAGATTTAATGAGTGCAGAAACACGGGATTTGCAATACTCTTGTACGTGCAGTTCTGCTGCATGATTGTGAAGCCTAACCCACAGAAAAGAGAATGTGCGGCAACTCTATATCTCTGATCACTGTTGACATTATGCTTGTATCCATGTAAGTAATACTGAGGTATGGGGACTAATGTTTGAATACGGAGGATAAAGTTTACGAAATTATGATGTCACTTTCAGATATCAGCGTCAGTGACTTCTACAGGAGCTACCAATGGCACTTCATTCTTTTGCTAATCCCAGCAATAAATGAAAAAGCTGAGAGGTGATCAGATCATGATGTAGCACGATGGAACGAAGGACATATGTGGTTAGCTAGCTTCATAACTCCCCAAATTGGGTTCGAGAGACAGTTCGTACCAGTGGATCGACACATGGTCAAATACGAGTGAGAATTGAAATCAATAGCGAGCATTCTGAAATTTCTTCTTTTCTTCTGTTTAATAAAGTGACACGAAGCAATGGATGCTGTTCTGAATGCTTGGAAGGTCATCGGTAATGGTAGGTAGTCTTGTCTTACTCCTGCCTTCACTCTAAACGCCTTCGAGAGTTTCCTGTTGTAAATTACTAGGGGTCCAGCTTCACCATACAGCTGTTGAATGAGGCTTATGAATATTTACAGCACTGCAATCTGCAGTGGTACTGCTAATATTGTGCAGCATTGCATCTCACAAAAATGTATCAACAGACATAACCGTTGCCGAAAACATAGCACATTCGGTTGCAAAGAAAATTACTAACAGCCGTCAAAAAATTTAGATTTCGGGTAAAATTCAGTCCCAAATCAATTGGCAAGTTCATGAGTCCATGGACATTACGTTATGTTGCAACACCAGACGGATACAAGTATCTTAACCTTCAGGTAAATGGTCATAATGCACGATTACAGTTAAACACTACAATTGATATTACCACCATTTCAAAGAAATTCGAAATGATATGGGCAGTCCTGCTACTGAAGTTTCTTCTCAAACGGTTGTAAGCACCTATAGTTGGCTCTTTAAGCCATCTGGCCAATTTCGATGTTATGTACCATTTTCCCCACCCTTTCCCAAGTGATTTATTCATCTTTCTAAATGGTGGCTAATATAGTGGAAAATTAAAACCATCTCCAGAAACTGAGAAGTCTTAATCATTGATATGTATCGGAGTTTATTGTAATGCAGCATACTAGCTTTTTGGATTGAAACTCCTCCAGCTACTTTCTAATAGTTGGTGAATACTACTTTAGTTGGGATGGTTTCCACAAAGCCATCAATCATGCATAAAGAACACTGACCTCTGCAGCAAAAAAACCGGGGAGATTAAGAGTGGCTTTAGCCTTAGTATTTGATATGAGATGTTCTCACAAAATGATTTATGGAGGTTGAATTACCACCTAACGGAAACTAAACTGCTGCTTTAAATTTTCGACTCTAACTCCGGCACTAAGCTAAAATTTCGACGTTCAATGGAACCGAACGAATGCTTTTGAATAAGGTAAAGCGCTGTTCCGCTTAACTATTGACCATTCATTTCATAAAGATAATGTAACTGCGGTAATCACCCGCAAAGAAAACGAAGTTCAATTCCTTGATAGCGCTGTTCGATTGTAAAAGAAACCCAAAGTATCACGAGGAGTAGTAATTTCCTACAACGTGTGATTCTGCACATACCGAATAGCCGGTTAACTAAATATTCGTTTCAGTAGATATTTACAATATATGTTTGCTTTCTTGACTCTTGGACAAGACTATATAATTTTTGGCCGATGTATAGAAGCGGTAGCACCGTAGTTTCTTGAGGAACACGCACTCCAGCCAGTATATTTCATTGGAACAGAGTGGTGTGCACGGCTGACAACCACGTCAAGGTAGCAGTTCTTCCCATGTGATTCCAGATTATTACCAAGAGCAGAAATGGCGTGTTAAAACGAACCCACATCAGTTCAACTTTATCGGGTGATCACTTATCTGAATTTTCAGGTAAACACACCAAGGTTAGCAAACAGTGAACTATGTGGAATTCCCTGGTATCACACTCCTAATATATATATATATATATATATATATATATATACATTCGAATAACCTGAGCAGGTTTCCTGAAATCATATTCATTGAAAGACATCCTAAGACATTCCAGACTTTAGGATTTCTTATATGATTCAATTAATCTCATGCAATCAATCCAATAAAAACAAAGATAACAAAACAAGAGTTCGCTAAATAATATCTTTAACTCAAGAGAAGACAAGACCTGCACGCTTCGCGTAGTGTTGTAAATCTGACGACTTCGTAAGTGACGCTAAGTGTTACATACAACTATGGTTTTTGATATATAATTAGAGGTCTCATTTGTCATGCCCCTATTCGATTATGTTTAAACCAATCCACTCGCAAAAGCATATTTCTATGCGTGTAACAATAATAAAATAAAAATATGTTAAGAAACAATGGGGATGTGTTACATTTTTCATCTGCTTTTTTAGAACTGAAAAATAGACAAACCAAAAAATTATCACTTTGTATTCCAGAAAGAAAAATAAAATATTCACGATTGCAAACAAAATTATCAAGTATAACTTACTCCATGAACGAACTTCGAAATGTTTCCCAGAAAATACGTTATTTTTAAGCTTGATAATAAGTGGCCAATTAAATGGTTGTTTCTTGAAACGAATGAATACATTTCTATTAAATAAAATAAATCACTGGTTTGTTGACTATCTTTAATATAATGACAAAAATTTAAGTTTAAATTATATGATAGAAGTCAAGCATAAGTTTACAGACGACATAATTATACGATGAACAGAAATGTGACTGTTCCAGCATACTGGTAAGAAAAAGTACTGGGGAATAGTAGCACTGCAAATACTTCACTGAAATGACATCAGAGAAGTACTGGTGGTTTAGCTATATATGGAATCGCTTCAATAGAATACAGTTTGTAGATCAACTACGGATATGCAGTCCTAGAGGCAGGATAATTAAAATAGCACAATATATGAACGAAATATCCCCATATTGACAAAAAGACGTAAACAGCGAAGAAAATTTTCTTTTCGACGATTCAGCTTTATAAGCTGTACAATCGTAATTTTTTTCCTTCACGTCCCCCAGTGGAACATAGGGCTTCAACCTAGTGGCTTGAAGTTTCTGTAACAGTGTTTATTTTTACAAGATGGAGTTGCTAGCCCCATGCCTAACATTTCCTCTTTACCAGCATTATTTCTGGCTTAGCGAGGTGAAGGAGTGAGTCAGCCGGAGATCGAACCCCGGACCATGTGCATGGTCGGCGAGCGTCTTAACCGCTATGCCACTGACGCACAATCGTGATTATTTTTAACAAAGAAATCATAAGACCAATCAGATACTGGTAAAATTCGTCCTCAAAAAACGTATTACGCAATGTAAGGTGTGACCTAGAAGGGGTGACTAGTTGGAAGTCAGAAAAGAGGCAGAAATTGACATAGCGTAATAAGTGTGAAAAAATGACTAATCAATATGATTGTGTAGAATGGACAGGAACTAGTGGAAAGATGATAAAGTGTTTTTATATAAAGGCTTATATATATATATATATATATATATATATATATATATCGTCAATTCAGTAAAGCCAGCACGATGCTAGACAACACTTTCAGACTGTTGCGCAAGTTTCCCATCTGGAAATGAAGTATTTTTCAGATAAGGAGGTTAAATTTCGATCATACACATGCTTTAAGTAAACAGCGTTCCGTCTGTTGCATATTTACTGTTATTACCAAAGGTATTTAGGGTAATGCGTATAAACACCATCGTCACATAAACGAGATTTACTCGAATAGAATATCAAGGTACTAGTTCACACTTTAAGAGAATTAGAACCTCACTACATCTGTCTAGGTCGAGAAAACTAGATTTGTGACCACCAACAGATAACAGGAATAGCAACATTATTCACAATCTTCAGTTCACTAAATGAACTATATGACAAAGCTAAGTAACTTATTCACAACTCCTGCTGAGAAACATTAAGATTCCATTATGGATAAGATTTCATTTTGATAAATTATATAAAGTTGATATGATTATATGATTTATTTTTGATTACAGCTTGATTCCACACTGTATTTTTGGTACAAGTATGGAATTTTCAGCATGGATATCGGCAGCCCAAATTTTGCAGGCCGACCATAGATATCAGGTGTGCTTCGGCAGAGGATCGAACCTCGGACCATGTGTATGGTCGGCGACAGTCCTAACCACTGTACCACCGACGCAATAGTTTGTGCTCGAAACGTCATCGGTGAATATTACTGTATAACACTGTGCGATTTATCAAAATAAAATCTTATCCATAATGGAGTTATACTCTACCACAGTGCCCTAGTTTTATACTTATATCAAACATTAAGATTGCTAATAGATTTCTTATAAAAGATAGTTTTGACAGTCATTAAGATTAACAGCTGACAGTACTTTTACTAACCTAGTGTTGTTTGAATCACCATTAGACACTGAATGGTATTCAACTAAAGAACCTTCAGGAAAATGTTCACGTATTTTATCATCATTAATCTCTTGGGAAACTTGAATAAGTTTTATTCCACAAACACCTTGTATATCATTGGCTTCAGATAATTCATAGTGAAGTGTTGATTGGGCGCCGACAACTGCTTTTATAGTTTGACCACCAATCATTCTACGATGGCATGATTCATATACATCTTCGAGGTCTTCAGAACATTGAAATTTTAATAAACATGAGCTGAAATTTTTCACGAAGTAGAAACACATTAGTACAAAATAAAGAATAGTGTATTACCAATAAATACGGGAAAAGATAAAGGCAACATTTGACACATGAGAGATAATGATGATGATGATGATGATACACTAATGCCAAGTATCAGAAATTTAAAGATACAGATTATTGAATGACCCACAAATTTTTCTACTCACTAATCTCTGTGAGTAAGCATGATCAGGGTATTTCATCATCGCATCTACTGACCGACGATAAATATATGCAGGGCACTACGTCTATAGTATAGAATTTCGGTATCCCTGTCACCATCATTTGTTTTTAAAGTCACAACCTGTTGAAGTGAGTTTAATGAGATTCAGACCAGGAATTGTGAGGACACCTATACACTTGGCGATCAACTGCATTTTTAAGCGTGATGCGAGTATCCTTCCTAAATGCACAAATAATGATCGGTGGATAGTTATTTCAATCCCACAGCTTAATAATTAAAAGTTAAGTGCATAGACCAATTAACCATGGTTCCTCTTTTTAAGCATAGGAAATAAGTGGCTCTAGTGATTCCACAGACTTATTCAGAAATGAATTCAGCAGCTCTGTCAAGAACTATAACCACCTGAATAAGTGCTCAGAAAACTAATCATTTTATAATATTTAAGATGGTCAATCCCGAAAAGAAACCACTTTTATAACTTAATGTTTAATTCTGTCTGAATTCAAGACAAGCCTATCAGTATCTATTCGCCTAGTTGAAATCCAACAGCTAAGCATTTCTAAATGCTTCTAGTCGGATAAGTAACAGTTGCCATAAATTACCAGTTAGAAGTCAAATTTCAACTAGTCCAATACCTGAATAGTAATGTAATGACTTTAATCCCTTCCTTTGCGTTCTGAGTGGAACATAAGCCTCCTTGAAATTTAGTAACAGTGGTGTTGCTTTTACGAGGTGAAGTCGCCAGTCCCGTCCTCGCTCTTTGCTGCGTTTACTACCAGCTAGTACAAACTAGGCGAAGTTTGTCAGGTAAAGATGATAAGGTGGCATTATTGAAGAATCCCGAAAGAAGAACAAAACAATTACCAGTTCTTTGGTTTTTATTGGGTTTTCTAAATGATGTGTCAAACTCTGGAGATGGAAGAAAGAGAAGACGAACTGCTATTTTAAGATGAGTATAGTCCACGCTATATAGTGCTAAAAGGTAGATTGAAAGGATAGGTCTGTCTGTCTGTTTTCGACATAGAACTTTGCACAAATGTGCGGAAGTTCAAGTCGCCACATTCCGTGTAGCACGCGAAGCAAGAGAAGAAAGTACAAGAAAAGCATAATAGAAACAGTGAGCAGAGGTGTGAGACAAAGGAGTAATAAAGAAATACAAAACAGTTTCATTGAAGATCATAAGTCACAGGGAGTGGATGCATCTGCGCCACTGAGAACGGTTTTGAGCCATGTCACCAATTGTTTCCAACCATAGATTTTTACCGTCCTGAGGACCCCAGCCTGGAAGTCTACACCTTTCTACGTGGCTTAGACCAACTGTTGTGGATTTCATTGACTGGTGGGGCCAAGTTTTTGTTTGACCGCCGCTAGCTTTTTTCCAGCCTGACCCTATATCCGCTAACATTGCTCGTCGAGGGAGGCGATGGCTTGGCATACGTAACACATGTCCTAACCATCTCAGTCTTTGTAGCTTCACGACTTCGTCGATTGATTTCCCCTGTTTACCTAGAACTCTACGCCTAACCTCCATGTTGCTCACCTTAGGATAGGTATTATTTTTATCTTCAGTGTATCACACCAAAACTGTTTTTACTGTCTGCAGGAATATTACCAAGCAAATACTGTTTGTTCTGAATAGGTAAGACTTTAGTGTTACCTTTAGGGATTAATTTTGAGTCAGAAACCTTAAATTGCCAATCCGCATAAAACGCGAGTAAAAGTGGTCATATAAATGAAAAATAGTCTGAGATCGTTATATGTTCACCTAATTTCCCACTTTAATCAATTTAAGAATAAAGTAACAAAATGCCGGCATTTTTTCAGATAATTGAATACCTGCCATAAAAAAAGCAAATATGCGAAATTTGAATTTCTCTTAAATCAACACAATATGCGAAATAGCTTAAAAGCATGCCTACTAACTATACAAATATAAAAACCCGAATAAATCCACTCATTAGTCATTATGATTAGGAATGTTACAGAAAAAACAAGACACAAAGATCAAGAGCGAATTAGTAGCACATGTAGGGAATAGCTAACAAGATTTCGTCCCTTGTTTCTTCGGAAATAACATTATCTATCACCTTTTACGTGAGTTTCAAGTAGGATACAGGGCTTCAAAACCCCATGTCCATTTCACACAACCCTCTGTTATCACATTCACCTGACTCAGAGGCTTCACACAAGCTTTGAGTTCGTCTTTACACGATCTCTTTCACATCACGCGTCGCTTCACACTTGCTTTTCACACCTCGACTTAATTTGTGATGTCATCCAACAGCCTCCACCAACTGTGTCCAATCCATCTTCGTCTCGTTCTGCGTGTTTGTGGCATATTACACTCTTGGTTATTCATCTGCACTACCACAGTCACACACACCCCTCCTCCTGCTCATCACTTCCCAGTCGACAACTCATTATCTTACCTTCAGTATCGAGACAGAGAAGGCATCTCTCGATGACAGTCTGCACTAGCCTGTTCGAAATACTTTGAGTCACGCGCAACACGAATCTCTCAACAACATAGGGGCACTCACTTTGCGTTAGTCCTAAAAATTCTCACGATCTTCCTTGTGCTGAATATTGGAGACGTTCACATCGATTTCAGACATCCTCATCAGTGCCTTCTGTATTTGAAATGATCGGTGTAGTCTAGGCAATGGAAAGAGACGAATTCCTGTAGACTTCCATCGATGGTGGGTGGTGTCTGTCCGACAATGACAATTTTGCCGGGATTTAACGATGAAATCCCTTAGATTCAAATTAGATGATTTTGATCTCAACCTTAGAAACCATAGGAATATTCTTCATTTCTGTGAATGAATTTATTAGGAATGAAATAAAATTCCCTGCCGTAAGTTTACTTCCTCAGTGCTGAAGATGTTACCTAGTAGGGCAATGAAAGCTTCGCAAATTAACTATCAACTTCAGAGAACACAACTATATCAAAATCATCCACCTGAGCTACAAATCTTCATCGTATCTACATTAGAGTCTATTCAGATTATTATTCTGGAGAAAAAATGTAATCTTCTCAAGGCTCTGAGAAAAACTCGAATATGTTTGACACTAATCTCATCCTTGTCAAACATAAGTTAATTTTACAGGATTGATCTACATCAACTTCTAGTTAAAGAAAGGATAATGAAGTGGTCCAATGTGATGATGACCACTTCTATTATTTAGGAAGCTTCACTAGCACGTATACAAAAGACTCACTGAGCATTTGCCATTCGTCATCTTTGTCACCCGGAGAGATATTCGATTACCGATTAAACAGCATACGTACTGATCATTAGTCAATTCAGTCCTCATTTACGGCTATGAAGCATAGCTGATGAAAGTGGGAAACAGAAAAACACCCGAAGGTTTTTTAACAGTATGTGCATTCGTTCAACTGCTCGCGTTCTGTCTGTCTGGATTCAACATAGAACTTGGCACCGAAGTGCAGCAGTTCGAGTTGCCACGTTCCAATTGGCACACAAGGTAGACAAGAAGATGAGTGAAGAGAATCAATAGAGTTTGACAAATATAAGAGTGAAACAGAATGGGTAATGGTAGAAAGGAATATGAAAGATTACAGAGACTGAATACATCTGCGCCATTGACAACGATTTTGAGCCATGTCACCTATTGTCTCCAGCCATTGATTCCTAGAGTCCCGAGGGCCCCAACCCGGGAGTCTGCATCTCCCTACCTGACTCAGTTTAACTGTCAAGGATTTCATGGATTGATGCCATGTTTTCGTTTGGCCACCACTGGCTCTTTTCCAACCTGAACCTATATCAGCTAGCAAAGCCCGTCGGGGGAGGCGATGGTTAGGCATGCGCAGCACGTGACCTAGCCATCTTAGTCTATGTAACTTTATAGCCTCGTCGATTGATTTTCCCTCTTTGCCCAACACTCTACGCCTAACGTCAACATTACTTATCTTGTGAAACCACCTAACGTGAGACAGAGATCGCAGACATCTATGATCGAAAGCAGTCAACCTTTTCATGTCTTCAACGCGTATTGGCCATGTTTCAGAGCCATAGAGAAGGACGGAGCGAACTGATGAGCAGTACACACGTCCCTTGGTTGATAACCGGATGTCACGCCTACGCCAGAGATGGTGTAAGTCAGCGAAAGCAGCTCGAGCTTTTCGGATCCGTGCTGAGATTTCATCGCCAATCAGTCCGTTGGTGCTAATACAACTTCCCAAGTAGGTGAAGTGGTCAACATGTTCTATCACTTCACTCCCTATCACTAAGTTAGGGGTTGACGGGGTCCAGTCCTGTAGCAGCATCTTACATTTTGCAGGGGCGAATCGCATGCCAAACATACGAAGATTGCTGCTCAAGGTGTTCAGAAGACTCTGCATTTTGTCAGCATCCTCCCCTAACAGGACTATGTCATCTGCATATTCTAAGTCCATTAGATTATTCCCTGGTAACAAGTCGATTCCTAAGTCACTACGTTCAGTTAAGGATACTTCCATTAGCATATCTATGATGAAGTTAAACAGAAATGGGGAAAGTGGACATCCCTGTCGGACACCACTGGTTGTTACCAATTCAGATGACAATTCCCCATAAGCCCTTACACGACTACGTGAGTTTGAATAGAGTGCCTTGATTAGTGCAATGTACTTTCTTGGCACTCCCTTCACAGTCAGACATTGCCATAGTACCTTTCGATCCACGGAGTCGAAGGCCGCCTTCAAGTCAAGAAATATGACAATTGTTGGACGCCGAAAAGTGTGTCTATGTTCTAGAATCTGTCGAAGAGTGAAGATATGATCTAT